CTCACTGTCTCACTCCACCCCCACCATTTAGCCTGCTGCTCTCTGCCTTACAACACAGCTTCAGTCCTACGTGCCCCCCTATTCCCTGAGCCCCAAATCCCACATGATCTTATGAGTTAACAAAATCAGCTGTGTCCATCTTCATTCCTGTCCTGTCCCTTTTTACACAGCTTTCCAGCCTGAAAGGAATTTTCCAGAAGTGTATGGCTTTTTTTTTTTTTCCTCTCTGCTTAGCAGCTGCAGGAGACAGGTTGCCAATAGAATCACAGAATTGTTTCAGTAAATACACAACCTAGCTGTCCTGACAGTCTCTGCTGGGCTGTGATACTATCAAGTTAAAACAGCATGGTTTGAAAAAAAAAAAGTTGATCAGCACCAGAAGTGAGCTGTCAGGCTGCTGGGATCCACGAAGGAGGCTCCCAATTAAATAGAAATGGTCTCTAAGGATTGTAGGTGGACAGTATCTGCCATCATTCTGGCAACTCCCTATGATCTTCTCTTCAGAAATGAGTGTGTGAAGGTAGAGAAAAAAGATGAAAGGGAGACCTTGAGATGAGAAAGCCCAAAATGATGAAAGATTTCAGTGGATTGAGAGAAGTACTCCAAAGGCACTCCTGTGTTGCCTGTATCACTGTTTCCCTGGAGTGGATTTCTAAAACTTCTGTAAGTACTCATCTGAGACATGGAGACACACATCAGGAAGCAGAGAGAAACTTTTCAGGCCTTGGGAAAGGCTGGAATTCTGAATGGTTGTGACTTTTTCTGAATTGGTTCATTTCTTCCTAACCAGAACTTACACCAGGGACCTGTGGGACTGGCTGTGTCTGAAGCAAAGACTCAAGAAGCTCCTCCACAATTCTGTCAACCCTCCTCACACAGCCCTGCCTTCACCTGCAGCATCTGCTGCTTTTGTGTCATGGTCCTTCAGTGTAACTGCCTGAACACACTCTAGGATGTGCCTGTGGTGCTCCTGCTTGTGTCCCCTCCCCACCCACCCAGACTGGACATGCAGCAAGGAAGGACAAAGCTCTTCACCCAGCACTGAGCTGAGGGAGGGAGATGAATCACACACTTCACCCCCACTGGGTACATCCAGTAAGGATCAGACATGTCAGCTGAAATCTGTCAGGAGACTCCGGTGAGAAATGCCCTAATGTGGGAACAATCGAGGGAAGGGAGATAAAGCACTTAGGAAAGGAGAGAAGGATCAAAGTCCCTCAAAATGAGCACAGAACAAACAATCATGAGGGAAAAGGAAGAGCAGTGATGCTGTTCAATCCACTGAATTCATCACGACCTGGAAGTGAATTCTACCCGCATGTGACGGCAGGGAGTGAAGAGAGACACAAAGAGAGAAATCATCTCCTGTTTGTGAAGAGTATACAAAACAAATAACCCAACCCCCAACATATTCCAGGCGCCTTCCCTGGAGCCAAGACCATCAGCAGAAAACAATGACCTCAGAGGCAGCAGTTCTTGAAGGGGATCCCAGAGAACAAGGATGAATCCCAGCTGCAGGTGCTGTAGAGCAGAGGGTAAAGGTCTGCCAACACCAGCAGGTTTAAAGGCAACTGCTCCAACATGAGGGGAAGAGATCTTTCCATACATATAAATACAGCTCAGTTATTTTAGGTGAACTTTATCTGGAGGGAGGCATATACCACTAAAGCAGCGTTTCACACAGTGGAATAACTATGTATGAATTTTGGATACAAACTTGAAACTGAGCGGCAGAAAAACTAAGTGGTCTTCCTTTTAAAAACAAATAGAAGGGATATATGATGATACCAACAACAGACCTGGAGGAACATGGGAATGAGAGCAGCCCAGAATCCTGCAGTTTTAAGGGAAAAATCTAAATTTAAGTTCTTGAACTGTCTCAGGTGTTCATGCAGAGCAACAGTTCTGGGTTTTGTCTTTCTCAAGCTCTAGAACGAGGCAAGTATCCTGGCCCCGGGGCAGTGTGTGGACAAAGGGGAACACGAGGAGAGGTGAAACTCAGAGAGCAAGCTGTGCCATGTACTTCAGCACACCAGCATAGCTCTGAGAGAAGGCAGGAACAGATCAAAATGGGGATGGTGGCTCTCCAGCCACAACTGGAGGACAGAATGTGTGAACAAGGAGAGATGACAACCTGCAGTTTACTGGGATACTACTGCAAACAACCCTCTATCTCATTTCCACATCTACAGTACCCTCTCCTTAACTGCAATACATTTAATCAAGTTGTTTCTTAGAGATCCAAATAAAGCTTGATGATGCTTAATGGCTGGGGCTTAATGGCTGGGTTGTTTAACTGGGCTCATAATTTTGATTAATTAAGATGCTTGCAGGTGTTGGAGTGGCACTTAGGCAGCAGCCTTGATGTTCAGAGGCAAAGGGGGTTCTGTATCCCCTTCTATAGGATTTCTGCCAGTGCCAGTTCAACAAAGCAAAGCTGCCCTCAAGCCCTTGCAAAAAAGTCAACCCTTGTAGCTGGCAGCAGCCTCCAGATTTCTGGGAAGTTTGACAACCTGCTTGTCCTTTCAATCAGTTTTATTTTGGGATAAAACTGGAAAAAATCCTCCAAACAACCTAATCCCAACCTTTTGCCTAGGGCAGCTCCTGTGTCCTTGATAGGAAGAAAGTAAGAATATGAGAGGATTTCCAGGTGATGATGCTGCAGTCAGGGGTGGACACTTCCAGCACAGCAAACACCAGAACAGTGTTTCTACCCTCCTGAAATGTGCTTTGGAGCAGTGGAACACACGAAGCCTGGCTGCCTATGAGTTTGTCCCATGTCCATATATCCTCACAGTGTGATTTCAGCTTCCCCCTGTCAGCAAATGTCCCCTTCCCTTTCCTGCTGTGTCACCAACTTGCCATCCTCCCTTCATGGAGTCCTGTGGATGACCTGCAGCAACCTGGACTCTGGGTGCACAGGGTGGGTGGCCAGCAGGTACAAGAAATCACACCAGAACGTCCCCCTTAGGCAGTACGAATTTTTATTTCCCTTTTCTATTCAGCAGCTGATTTTCTTACAAAACATACTTACCTCAGATTTTTGTCTCTTGAATGCAGATAAAAATGTCCCCAGGTTAAAAAATACGTGGAGAGGAATCACGATACAGATACCAGTGTGGCATATGCTCATTTCCATAAGAAACTAAAACACTGGAGAGAGGCACAAGGAGCCAAACTCACCATTGTTTTCAGTATCAAACACTGACATTAAATTAAGCAGAGCTTGATGATGTAAGGCTTAGTAAATTACTACTGCCAGCTATAAAGGCAACATAACCTTGTGGATAGAGCACTGGAATAGGGCTCAGAAGAGCATCTGCTTTGCCATGGAGACACTGAAATAATTTGGACAAATGTTATCTTCACATGTGTATAAATATCAGTCAATCTTCCACTTTTTTTGTAATGTGTATAAGGAATGCAAAAACGAAGCAGCATATTGTCTAGGGACCACAAAGGTAACCTTTTTCCAAGAAACAGCTTGTTTGGCAAGCACAGGAGGGAAAAAGTGAGTCAGGAGGAATGATCTCAGCCTTTTTGTACATCTACATTGTTCCTCTCAACCACAGCTTTGGAATAAGAGACATTCAAATGTAATTTATGGAAACTTAAGCAAATACAAATTGGAGTAGCCCCTGAGTGTTATTGGCATATTTAATAGCTTGTGATGAATCATAACTGAGGCATCTGCTTTCCAGTCCATTAAGGCTAAAGCAGAAGTTGATTAGAATTATTCTGACCCAAGCAACAGGACCACTTTTCAGGGCAGTGGTTGAAATGTCCAGACACCAATTTCATTTTTCCTGGTGTTACGACACAATCTTATTACAAAGATACTGTGAATTCTGAAAATTCCTGAAAAAACCAGAAAATATACCTTTAAACTCACTGTTAGTGTCTTCAATCCATCTTCTCATTACAGCCTGCCACAAATTTAGCTGCATGGGTGCTGTCTGCAACCTAGATGCTCAGTTATTCTCCTCTACTTCTGCACCAGAAGAATGCAGGACTCTGAGCCATTTTGCTCTGAAAGTGCTTACAAGGTTTTGGTTAAGTGTACCATTAACATGCCAGGGCCTGCCTGTCCTCTCTACTTTGATCACTGAGCAAGTACCTTTGTATTCTGCAGGATTAACAATGTTAAAAGAATATATTTGACCCGCAGCTGGTGAGAGAAACATCTTGGTTACCCCTCTCTGTAGCTCTAGATTGGTCCTGAAGGCCAAAGAACAGATTTTGCAGCCTTTCAGCCCTTTGAGTAATGCTTTGTTATGCAAAGCTCCTCTTATCTCAACTTTTAGGAGGTCTCTGGGGACATAATAGAGAGAAGGCAGAGTCAGAGGTAACTGGAACTCTTCCTTAGAACATATTATTTTATTAATCAGGAAAGATCAGAAAAATAGCTGGAGGACATCTTGTCTCCAGGTGAATAGACACTGGAGGTGAATAGAAGACACTGAACCATACATTGTCAAAAATTGTTCAAAAGAGCTGAGATGTTCAACAATCCAACTGTAGTTGGTTAACTTGTTCTGCCAGCGTAAAGGAGCCTCAGATGTGGATTTGGATCCCTGAAGAGCTTTGATGATCTTCTCACTAAGGGTGAAAGGAGATTCTGAACTGGCCCCAGCCACAGCACTGGGGCCCAAGCAAGGATATTAACACTTGCAAGTCTTGAAACAGTAGCTGAGCACTGGACTCATTGACCAGACACTCACTGTGCTACCTCTCAGCCACAACCACACAAAAGGCTTTCTCTGGCTGACAGAACTGCAGTCTCCCACTGTCTGATTCACAGAGCCTGTATCAGACTGAAGGAAGCAGAAAGTTAACCAGAGCAGCACAAGAGCCAGACAGGCTCAGCTTTTAGTACCTGTGGGTGCCGTGTCCCTCCTGACTCCCCTCTCCAGAGATATTCCCCCTGGGCTGTTCAAGGGAAACAATCTACTATTTCATGACAAGTTGGGTTTCAAGAAGACTTCACACTAGAAGATTATTTTTTTCAAACTTTCTCTATCTCTCTATCCGTCAGAAAAATTTATGAAATCAAACTGCCTTGATACTCTCAAGGTGACCTCCAAGATCTCCTCTTCAGAGAGAAAACGAGCTCTACCCTCCTTGCTGTTGACAGGGTAGGGGAGGTGCAGCAGCAGCTTCCTGTAAAAGAGGACACAGTGACTTTCAGTGTCTCAGACCAGGTGAGCAACTGAGATGTCATTGCAAGTTACTCCTGCAATTCTCCAGTCAGTATCCCAGAGAATGTTCCAAGATATCTCGTTCCCGTGACAGGTCGTGGGGTTCCTGCAGTACCTGATGCACAACTAGATGGTCCCTGAAACATTTCCAGCACTATTCCTTCCCTTTGGCTGTGGCTGTGACAGTGCTTTCCAATGATGGATTGCAGGCTCTCTCCACTGCTCTTGCATTTGCACAGTGCTGCATTTTAAATGCAGGGGAGGGAGGAACTGCACTGATAATGCACTGTAAAGCACAGTCCAGGGATGGGAATGGACTTGTGCTGATGAAGTTGCTGGGATTTTAACCTACACTGGAGATTAATTCAGTGATCTCCCTCTGCCTGTGGCTCAGGAATATTATACAAAAAAGAAAGGCTGGGTCTTGGACTCAGGAACTATTCCACAGTCCATTACTATGTCAGACACAACTTTCCCTGGAATGGCTGACGAGCCTCCAGGTTTTATCTCTTCCCAGGGATATCTCAGTCTGGATTCATTCACTCTTCTCACTGATGACAGTTCAAACTTACTTGCTCATGCAGAGTCTGAACTCTTTCCCCTCTTATCCCAGGGTTATTTACTAACATATGAATGATGGGCCAGTCTTGGATCTCCACTCTATTGAAAGTGCAAAGAGAATCCAGGATGCTGTAGAATCAAGAGATCTGCCCAGGCAAACTCTACAAAGCCCAGCAAAATAAAATAACATGGTAGCATAGATGAGGGTTTCTTCAAATTGGGGTTTAAGCTTTGTTGATTCTTTTTCAGACCTTTTCAGCTGTCTTGTAGGAGCCATGGCTGAAAGAGGTACAGTAAAAACACCTTTGCACCACAAATATTGAAGGAAGACATTTCCTGTAATTTGGAGAAGTCCTTAAAATCAGCTTGGCTTAGAAGCAGCCCCAGGACCACAGAGTTGGGAGCAGTTCCTTTGAGTCTTCCTACCCATCTGTGAGAGAACAGTGTTTTTCAGCACGTAGAACTTGAAATCTTGGTTGTTTCTTTCATACTGAGAAGGCTTGCACTTATATTTGTGAAAGCAGCACTGGTTCAGGCTGTACCCAAGCAACCATTAGCTTTACAGTGAACTTTTTATTTGCCAGGCTTGTGACTACAGACAGCTGGGTACTGAGAAGGTAATGGCAGATCTGACTCACCAAAAAGATAGAACTGCAAAAGCAAAAGGATGCTGAGGTTTTCCTACATCTGCAGTATTGCATTAAGCCATCTTTTTTTACTGCCCATAGGTTCTGCAAGTCATTAGTTGACCAATTCTTCCTCCTGATTTTCCATTTCAGAACTAGCACTTCCAAACTTTCTTCTGCCCCTGTTGCATCTTTGGGTTAAAACCAAGCACGGGGTAACTGACTTTGCTTGGCTTTAGCTGTGAGAAAAATGGCTTTTCTATAGTTAGTCTACTAGAGACAAAACTTATTTTGGCCTTAATCCATGGCCTGCACCTTGAATTTATTTGCAGAAAGCTATTCACATATAGATCTTCCCACATCCCTTTCAATACAGCAAGTCAGTCCAGAGAGGATTAAGCTTTCTTATGACAGCACTCTTTCTGAAAAAGGACTTCAAGCAAAACAGACATGGGAATTATCTGGCAATCTCAGGCAGGACAATTGTACACTGAGGGAAAGACAGAGGAAGGCTGAAAATTCCAACAGTCAGTGGATTATCTTCGTAGGCTTGAAACAGCCCCATAAAAAGAACTCAAAGGAAATATCTTTGGGGAAAACTTGTAACTTTTTCATCTCTGCATCCCTGCCTGGATATGTCCATAATTTGGCTTTCAGCTTCTGAAAATGTATCTGCACATTTTTTACCACCTTCAGTCATGTACTGGCACAAATTACTATTCAGAAATACTAGACAAGATGTCCTTCAAGAACCTGGGGCAGCTTTTTGCCAGATGTTTCAAGCCCTTGAGGCCTTGCTGTTTAAGTAGCCAAAATCTGTCTCAAAGCTGTTTTTTACTAGGCAGCATCAGAGATTCAAAGCCAGCACACTGCACACCTATGGTTTACTTTTGTCTATATCTATTTCTCATGTGCAATTAATAAATCTGATCCCCATCTCTAACTTTGCTTCCCAGACAGCCTTCACTTGAAGGCTTGCTTAAACCTCATTTCAAAGAAGGTATTAACTGTCCTGCACTTCTGTCAATTGTGTTACACTTACTTTTTGGGAGTTCGAAGGTCAAGAACCTTGTCCTGGATATCTAATGTGATGTCTGAGTACTTTGTCTCTGGCAGCTTGATTTTAATCTGAAATGAGGGGCAGAGGCTTTGATTACATACGTAGCCCTACAAGCCATAAAAGATCTCATCTTCATGAATATTTTGATGCTAGTGTCAAAGAGCAACATTTTGAGTAGGTAATTTGTATCACAGAATATATGAGGGTGATAATCATTGCTTTCAATAGCTTAGTGATGTCAATTGACATCCTATTTTCTTAAAAATCCTGAGCTGCTAATGTGCTTGAGAGATATTCTATGTCCAGCAAAAGTCTCAGGCTTTGTGTATTGCAGGGAAGGTTTGCTTCTGCTAGAAAAATAACACAGCAGTTCCACCCATCCTGAAGTTCAGAAACCAAGGAGGTATTTGATTATATAATGATGGGACAGGATCTGACACCTGTAACTTTAAGGACTGCCAGTATTGTAGCATCCTGCTAACCTATATATATACCTTGTGAAAAATGCAGGCAGATGAAAACAATCTCCTTCCCAGCCCCTCTCCCCTCCAGAATTGTATCCAAGATGAAACTTCTGCTTAGAGCTACATTTTATTTCCCTTAAGTCCACAGGTGGCACATGCATTTGCACAGATTCCCTGGAGTACACTTGGTGCTTGAGGAGATACACGAGTTCCCCGTGTTAGCAAGTGTAAATATCATCCACAAATGCTTGAAGAACTACAAGAAAATGCTACAGGAGGCCAAAGGCAGCAGCACAGTTTGGTGTTTACAGTCTGTCCCTCAAGCAGTTGGGAAGAGGGAAAAAGGCAGAGAAAGAGCAAAAAGAAGGGATTGGAGATCCAGGCTCAGCTCACCACTATATCCTCACAGCAGGCGGTGGAGGGGTCCTTCCCTGTCATCCCAAAGAAGACATCCTCTGTTCCCACAGACTGCTTGAATAAAATCTCATACCTGAGAAGGAGAAGTCATTGCCTAAGAACACTGGAGAAGGGGCAGGAGACTAAAGGAGGTTGTCATTTTCAGAGGACTGTAAATATTCTCATCATTCAGTCTCCCTTCAAGGCTTCAATCCATCTGCACTGGGTTTCTGTTCACAGCCATGACTGAGGGAGTCAGAAAACAGGTGAATATCCTTCACTCCACCTTCCAAGGCACTCCCCATGCTGCCTCTACTTCCCTAATCAGCCTTTATGGGATCAGGAAACGCATCCTAAGTGAATACAACACTTATCAACTAGGCAAACACCACAAACTCTTGAGAAATGGATTTGAAAAGGGGGATGTCACAATCACCACCTGTGATCTGTTCTGCCCTTCAACATATTCTTGCAGCCTGAGCACAACACTCTTCAGTCAGATTGCAATTGTTTTGCATTCAGCCAACATTTATTTTCTTCCCCTTCACATCTACAAAATGTACAATCACAAACTTCCTTGCTCTTGATAATTAATGAATGAGAAAATACAAACTAAATTTGTATTTATAACATATGTTACTCCTACTAAATTCAACAAAATAAGTGGGGTGGATCACTTGTCTAAGCTGTTGGAAAGAGTGTATGGAAAGTCTTTCACATCTCCAGTGGGTATCTGCCTATGTAATAATTCCCAAATCAATGACAAAAGTGTCTCATAGCTCTGGATGCACCGCTGTAACCATCTGTTTTCCATGTGGGACATTTGCCCTACTTCATTTGATGAACTGTTATAAAGACTTATATACTTTCTTCATCTGTGCAATATGAGTCACAAATGTTTGAGGCTAGAGAAGCACTGGGGAGGGAAAGGGTCAGAAAAAGGCATGGGAAAAGCTTCTGCTGTGCCCCTAATACAAAGAGGTGTGAGGTCACCTCACAGGTGACCACCTCAAGAACAACTGTGTGTGAGGGTGAATGCCAAATCATTTTGAGAAATGCTGAGTCCAAGTTCAGGTGTGTCTCCTGTGTTTAGAGCAGGAAACCAAACACCTCACACCATGACTCACATGCAGAGAAAAATGAGGATTTTGGCCTACAAACCAGTGTACAATGTGCAGCTTCACAGGCTACAGCCCATCTGCTCCAGCATTATACACCCCAGGATATGGCACTGGAACACAACAATTACAAATGCAAAAGCTGCTTTATGCCTTGACCCTGAGGGCTTCCTGACCTCTGCAAACCACAAATGACGTGCCTGATTGTATCCATTTCAAGAACATTTTTGTTACTGCTTTTCTACAAGCAAGAGAAAAAGCTCTGGTTTTAGGTTGTCCCTTTGACAGACCAAGATGACAGAATTTAAAAGCTCAAAACTGCCTGCATACAGCTTTCCTTCCTGCAGTACTATTTGTCTCTACAGAGCTTAAATCTTTGAAATGCAAATACAAGTTGGAGTACTTTATGAATTTATGAGTGTGAAAAAATGGATCCATCTTGGTTGCAGCAGGAAAAAAGCAAGTATTTCACATAAATGGCATATTTTCAAGCTAGTAAATCATTTTGCTGACCTACTTCCTCTCCTAATCCCACTTTATACAAGCAACTGACGCTGCACGTAAACTTAGGATGGGAAAAATCAACACCATGTTTCTGTTACGAGATCAGAAGGTTTGAAGAGAAGCGTTAAAACCACTCCTCACATGTTGCTTTAGATGCAACACTGATATCCTTCCTTTCTTCCTCTGCAACACGAGCTCTTCAGAAGGCTGTGTCACCCCAATGCAGTGGATGCTGTTTAAATCTCATTAAATTTAAGGCTGTGTAAAGCCCATGAGGGCAGTCTCAGCTCACTTACTCTGGCTGTTCCCTGGGGTCCCAGGTATCATCAAACTCAGATCCTTCTGGGACCTCCTCTGTATTCCAAATAGTTTTCCTGTTTTCAGATTTCATTTGAAAAGTACCTGTATGGGATGAGGAAAAATCCCACTGTCACCTTTTTGAAATGTCTCTGTTCCTCTAGGTTTGTTGAAAGCTTAGAATATTGTTCTAGAAAAGAAAAAGAAAAAGGGAAAGGAAAAGGAAAAGGAAAAGGAAAAGAGAAGA